GAATTGCTAATAATTTTTTATTATTTTGTAGTCCTATTTACATCCGGGTCTTCTGCAGCTTTCCGTCCGTTCCATCAAACTTAGCAATGACACTTTTGTACTGTTATGCCTAGCGAGCCTACTTTTGCGATACTCCCCACGTCCCCCGCGGCCAAGTACGAACCCATTTCTGGGGATTTCCCATGAAAAGAGGGCTGTTAAACGTAGCAGTTAAATCTGTAAAGAATACACTCATAATAATTTTCATTTTTTTAACATCTTGACTTCCATAGCTCCACTCCCACTATCAACTGAAATGTCGAAGCATTGCCCGGCTCTGAGTGACCCTTGAGATTACGACCCCCCCTCCCCAGCGGCCAAGTACGACCCCCCTATGGGTTTCGCACAACGATGCTGTACCCTGTTTACAGAACAGGCACAGTGGCAAATAGTGCATTCGCACAGGCTTTCCAACCTGGATGTATCTTAACCGCGTAATAGCTCACGAAATGGTCAAGTACAGCTCTCAATAAACCTCGGCATTGTTGTGTACTGTAGTATTTCTTCTGTGGAAACTCTCCGCGAGGTTGATATTCCACTTTATTTGGCTTAAGAGATTCGGCGACTGTCACAAATCGTTTTGGTCCTTTCAGGCTCTGATGAAGGCGGTTTCGCCGAAACGTGCGTAAGCCGAATAAAGTGGTATATCAACCTCGCGAAGAGTTTCCACAGAGGAAATTGTACAGGCTTACGAAACGGTCCTTCAACAAAACCTCAGAGCGTGATCATACCTCGCGAATAGATCGTAAACTATGAACGCGCTCTCACAGATGTGATGATTTTGTAAGACTTTTATTCATCTCTTATAGGGCCATAATGCGTTTAGCACATACCAAGACCAAAATAGGAAGCCATTTTCCGGCTGTCTTCGTTTACCTCCATGTCGAGAATTTCGCTCCCATAGGCCTGCCACCAACAAAAAATCTTGCATGATGCGAAAACGAAGAAATTGTTTTTTTTTAATTTTGAACGACATCTCGTCTAATTATAGCGGAGCAGGTTCACAGAACTGTGGAATGAAAGTGCATGTACACTCCTTTTCTCTGAAGTCACCATGGTCCGCCGTCTCCATACTTCGCCCGCGCTGCCACACGGGCAGTCACACGCTGAACCAAAGCCGGACGCGCTACCTGTCTACACCCTCTCAGTCATTGCTATTCTCTATCAAGTGTGTGTTTCGCAGCGGGCCCTTGGTAGCGACTGGAATACTGAACCTTGAGGGGGGACCGGGCAAAGAATGAGATGGCACCCAGGTATCACTTCCTTGCAGATCTGAGATCCATGAAGGTGAGTGTACCCCTCTGACCTTGCCTTTCAGCGCTCTCTTCATCCCTCGCCTACATTCGCATTCGTCCTACGCCTTTCGGTGATGCTTTTCTCAATACGAGCAGCATCTTGCTTACGCCACTGAACTACAGGGGGGGGCAAAAAAGTCACTTTCCTCCCTTGACTTTCGAGGCGCTATAAGTTACACTTTATTGAATTCTGATCGGACATTTTTACTACCATATTAAAGAGCATATTAAATACTATCATGATACTCCGCCACAGCCTTCTGGAGGAGCGCCGTCGAGAGATTCTGCCACGCAACCATGGTTCGGTACCTGGCTTTAGCGAGATAGTTGATTTCTCGGCTACTGTAGACCACCTTGTTGAGCTCCGAAAATTGAGTTGGCTTAGGCCAGGGGACGTACTTGGAAATTCCATCTTCTTCAGGTACTCAACGCCCTTCCATTCCAAGTAGGCGAGAGTTTCTCCAACGCCCTTCGATTCCATGTGGTGGCACCCAATGCTGTAGCAGTACAAAGTTTCCAAGAAGGTACGGGCGACGACATGTGAGGAGGATATTCTTCACGAGTTGCTCAATGTAACCGCCAGCGCTCACCTTCAGTCCGGGGTCCACGAAGAAAATATTGGTCTTTCCATTCCAGGTACTCCGGTCCATACCATCAACCCGCGCCTTGGCGACTGCGGTGAAGATGATGTCCTAGACCGTAACTGTCGGAGCTGCTCGATGTTGGAGGTCTTCCAGATCGAGAGTACTGGTCTCCAGGTAGCTATCCATGGGTGACTCCATACTAGAAGTTTCGCAGCTGTTTGGAGGTGACATGAATTCCAAAGGTCTTCTCCAGTCAGGCTGCGACTGGAGATGACTTCATATTTTGGTGTACATGAAGGTGATGGGCGAGAGCCAGCTCCTGCTTATCGAGGAACATCTTGGGTATCTTCCGCCCTGGTACTCGTATCCACGTCCTCTGTCTGGGCTGCGAAAACTTTGCTGATATGTGACTCGGTCGAAGTGACTTTTTTTGCCCCCCCCCCCTGTATTTCCTCCCATACTAGGATAGATCTTCCCCATTTGTGAAACCTCTCATTGAGCTTGGTTCCCTTAGGCAGTGTTCATATTTTGCGGCAGCGACCAGCAGCGTCCACCAACGACTACTGGCGTTCCGAGCGTCCGGCAGCTTCAGCGACAGGAAGGTGTAGATATCCTAGCGACCAGCAACTCCTAGCAGCGTCCTCCAGCGACAAGCGGCGTCGAGAAGTGGAGGGCATCAGGCGGTAGGAGAGTAAGCGGACAGCCGGTATCCTCCTATCGCCCCATACTCTTTACCAGCAGTCTGCTAACCGCCTCATACTCTACCTGCCTTTGCCTTACTTTCCTAGTTGCTGACGCTGCCGGACGCTCGGAACGCTGGTGGTCGCTGGTGGACTCCAATTCATTTTCTACCTTGTCTTCCCCTTATCCTTACCTTGTCTACACCTTATCTTTTCAAGAGTTTCTGCACAAAAAGATGAGGCTGACGTCATCAGTGCGGGCACTCTCCCTTCCTATGCTGATTTTTTCCCGATTTTCGATTTTTCTTTCTGTTTTGAGCTGTCTATTCCCGGAAGTTTGAGGCACCACAAAACCATAAACTCACAAGAACCTCGACTTTTGAATTTTTCTTGATTAACCCTTTATTGTACTTCTTGGTCCAGTCGTGTACTCCCAGTTCCCAGGCTGCGAAGGCTGTCTGCAGTTCTGTGGTGTTCTTGAAACCATACGGAAAGAGAACAATCAGCTGGAATCGAATGGCTAGCAAGTGGCCATCTAACAACGCTCAAGCTCGCTCACCTCCACGTGCTCCATATTTGTAATTTGGGATTCTAACGGCTTTCCACGGTCTACCGCTATGTCTTCCCCAAAGTCGAAAAACCGTTTCACCTAAATTGTAATGATGAAAAGGAGAAGCACAAATGAATGTAGAGAAGCTGACGAAACAGCATGAAGGGGAGAAGCGAATATTTCTGGTGCAGTTCAGCTAGCAGGAGAAGGCACTTTGCACTTTCGCTGCCTCCCATTTTCGTGTTCAGGGATTCGCTAGAGATTTTGATGCCAGTCCAAAAATGTAAGACTACTTGGCAACTCTCGTAAAGAATACCTGTCAACACTTGTGTTAACTAAACGATGGAAAAATATGAAAGTGCGAAATGTCCCCTCTTCTGGGCCGAACTGTGAATCGCGCCATCGCTCCATGCCTGCGATGGAACGACAAATCGAGTGCAGTAGAGATGCGCAGAAATCGAGTCAGTTTACAACGGTCAATAACACCGAACCATGTCAGATTGGAATAGGATCATTAATGACGTACCTTTCTGGCCCTAGAAGCGGGACTGCTTTGGGTTGTCCGCGCCAGTTTCACACCGAACAGACACTGCTCGAGTGGGACACGGTAACCCCATATAGTGGCGAATGGATACGATAAGTTGTACATACTATTCCACGTTCCGTGCTTTTTAGCCGATTTGTAAGTTGACATCGTAGTAGTGCTGAAACCTTCTGTGTTGAAAAAGGATGAAGAAGCTCTGCAAGCACACTCAATGAGGGGATTTCAAGAGCTGGCAACTTGAAGACACATGGTACGCTCACACACATTGAGGGTGTATGTGACTATCAGCCCCCCAGCTGTCGATGTGTCGTGGTTTCCCCGCCCGAAACTGCACGGGGTTAGAGTACAGGGCCGTGGGAAAGTCTAATTCGTCCATGCTCCGCCCAAAATGCAACTTGCGGCGCAGACTCCCTTTATGCTAACAGCCGTCCGCGCGGCGCGTGTCGCGCGCAGCTCTCTTGGCTTTTTGCCAAGTCCTGTAATTGCGCTCTGGAATACAAGTAAAACGCAATTTCCTGATGCGGATAACATTTTAGGTGCAAAATAAGAACCGAAGATGATGACGAGGGCCAGAACTCAAGAGCAACTGTGCTGCTTCTGCAATATCCCTCGGAGGCCGCGCATTCCCACAAAACATGAAAATAAAAATGGCCTAAGCTCCCACACATATCCCTCGGAGGCCGCGCATTTCCTCAAAACATAAAAATAAAAATGGCCTAAGCTCCCACTCGTAGTTCAAAGTATTTTATGGCTTTGGAGCCGAATTCGCGCCGGATCGCAGGAAATTTACACGCGATTTTAATTAATTTGCATTTCCTTAAATTTTTCATTTTTGTTTTATTTACATCTACATTCGTTGTTCTTCATTTCTAGCCTTTGTCATCTTCATCACCTTCTATTCGGACTTTGAAGCATGAGCAACACCTCAAATGTTATTCGCATCAGGAAATTGCGTTTTGCTTGTATTAAACTAACGAGTTTAACGCTTAAACTAACGAGTTTAACGCTTAGGCCGTTTTTATTGTCATGTTCTGTGGGAATGCGCGGCCTCTGAGGATGTTGCAGAAGCAGCACAGTTGCTCTTGAGTTCTAGCCCTCGTCATCATCTTCGGTTCTTATTTTGCAGCACCTAAAATGTTATCCGCATCAGGAAATTGCGTTTTACTTGTATTCCAAAGCGCAATTACAGGACTTGGCAAAAAGCCAAGAGCTGCGCGCGACACGCGCCGCGCGGAACGGCTGTTAGCATAAACGGTAGGCGGAGCATGGACGAATTAGACTTTCCCACGGCCCTGTACTCTAACCCCGTGCAGTTTCGGGCGGGGAAACCACGACACATCGACAGCTGGGGCTGATAGTCACATACACCCTCAATGTGTGTGAGCGTACCATGTGTCTCTGAGGATCCCCAAGCGCAACATTTACGGACGGCATTGGGGACTCCGTACGCAGCCGGAAAGATTATTTGGTTGCGTTTTCAGGTTCAGAACAAGCTTGCTCGCTTCTATAGAAACCCAGCTGCCCAATCAGCATAGTCGTGACCTATAAGGGCTTACAGTTAGCAACCCCAGAATACGTTAACGCCCTGGTCTTTGAGGTTGTCACGACCTCAAAGACCAGGGCGTTAACGTATTCCGGAGAGGGGAGAAACACCCACAGCGCATCTGTGTCCGTTTTCCTAATCATAGGCATATAGGCAGACGGTCAGGGTCGCGTAGATGTCTGCCCTGCGAGAGTAGCCCGAGTCAGAACACTTGAAGGAACAATACACAGCTTATACATATGAGTATTTATGCTATGCTGGCGTTGGTCAGACGGGGCATGCCAGTTTGCGACTGACAAAAAAGGGTGTCATGACAAGTTCCAGCTCGTAGCGCCAAACGCCGCATAAGGAAAGCCGAGAAAGATGAGAAAATCAAAGGATAATGCTCGCCGTTGATCAATCCCTTTTTTGGATGAGGCATGCACTTCCACTCTCATTTAGATTCTAGTGGCTTACTGAATGCGATGTGGCCTATACAATGACTGTGGAAGGCCAGCCGATTTATAATTCAGTGCTCTCAACCACCCCAGACGAATCTGGTACCAATTCACCGTCCCCCGAGGTTAGGAGGCTTAGTTGAACTGCTCAGCAGTCTATCCGGGATTCCACTCCTGGGCTGCGCGCGTGGTAAACGTGTCGTTGCCACTATACCACCCTCTCCTCAGCGGAAGTACACTCTGCATCCCAAGATGAAAAAGGACGGTAGAAGGCTTTGTTGGGTTGGGCGGGAATCGATCCGAGATTTGATCCCCCAACCGCGCGCGTGGCAAGCGTAGTACTTGCTTGCACACCACCACCTGATGGGACAAAATACAAAGCCGTCACTCAATTCTCTGCAGGACGTTGCGCCTTCTGAGGAGATCACATGACTCTCAGCTGAGAGAACTCTTCGTCCATATCAGCGAGTTTCTTATACCTTTTGTGAGTTGCGGCAAGATAAAACAAACCAATCTGCCAACGACCTTTGTCGAAAAGGGTTCCACGCCTTCGCGCAATTGCGCCTGCTCTGCGAAACCCCGTGGAAAGTTCGGTTATCTGCGCTTGGTAAGCCTAGCCCTTACAAGCAGATGAGCTGCTGTTTGCACCCTCGAGTTCGTTAAAGCCTGGACCAAAAATACCCGCATTTGGCTGTTGATTTCGCTTACAAACCTGCACAGGTTCTGAAGTTAGCTGTTCTTCGTCGCAAAGCCACAACAAGGTGCGTTCATAAGTCGCTAAGAGCTCTACCCACAATCGTTGCGGCACAGCGACTGCTGCTTCGAATCGAACCGCGAAGTATGAACGCCCAGTAACGTGCCTCGTACCGCCGAGCTCTGATGAACAGACACTGGTCAGGATAAGCGACTGTACCTGAACCTTCCTCACCTTGAAAGCCTCGAACAGCTCATTTGCAAAGCAGTGCGGGGCGCACATTTCTTTGTACGTCAGACGTCGATTTTTGTGTACAACTGTCATGTTGTAAATGAAATTGACAATATCGGCCGCTTCGTCGAGTTTTTCCTTTACATGCATTGATCTGTCAGATTTTGACAGTAACAATATTATCATCTCCATCGGATCAACTGTAGAAAGAAGGTTTCTTAGTGAACAGAAACTTTTGATTTGCGGGGAATAATCCTCGTCCATTTACGAGGGTCACATTCACAAACAGATGGGCCAGTGACAGAGTCGGATTGGAAAATGAGGTAGCAGTGGTGAAAGAGTGACTAAATGCTGTGCCACACTTCCTGCCAGGTCTACCAGAACTTTATCTCTCTATGTCATCTCTGAACGTTCTTGACCCCAGACTTGGAGACCAATTAGCCTCGGCAGGGAGAATAACAGCTCTGAGGTAGTGAGGACTGATAGACTCCATCATATAGACCCAAAACGTACTCAGCTTCTGTGGCAGCCAAACTTCGCGATGACGCGCGACAACGCGCTGCAACGCGCGCAATCGCTATTGCAAGGGCACCTCCAGAAATATAGACGCGACCGCAACCGCTGAAGGGAATCAATCGGCGCCGGCCGCTTGTGTTTTGAGAGAGCATAGGAAAACAGGAGCGTAGGCACTGCCCACACGCAATCTGATACCCTCTTGTTCTTCTAGACTCTCTCAAAACACCAGCAGCCAGTGCTAATCGATGCCAGTCTGCGCGATTGGGCATGCGTAGCACATATCCTATACCCTCGTACTCAAAGAAACACCAGAACAGATCGATTACCGTCTGCGACTCGTGCGCGTCTATAGCACTGGAGCGCTGTTAAACCGTAGAGCGTCGACGCGCGTCATCGCGACTTCTGGATGTTGCCTTTCTTCCACTGATGTTTGACGCGGCTCATCTCGGGGCCCACCAAGTTACTACCTTTTGCTGCATAATTTTGCGTTACACCAGCTTGAAGAAGTCCGTTCAGGTACAAGGTTTCCATGAGCTATTAATGGGGTCACAGTGCATCGGTAGCTACAGCGACTGACCGGACGTGTTCAAAAACGCTCTCAACGCCTGTGTCTCCTGACGTGATTGAGCTCCCAATGCGGTGTAGCCTTCTCGTATACTATCTCTCAATTCCATGTTGTGCATTCCGTAAGTCATAAAAGAGAGCAGCATCTGAAACCAAAATCATCGTCTCATGCCTTTGTAATCGTTGTGAAATTGTCGATCAGTATTCCGCCGAAGTAGCAGTCGAAAATGACACATCAAAGGCTATTTCAATTCCCCAAATGGTAAATAAAAGTAGCGATGCAATATCGTGGACTATTGTTGCAGCCCAAGGAGAATCACCGTGAGTCAAGGGATTCTCATTTGAAAGTGAAAACGAAGTTATTAGGTCGTGGCAAAAATAATGACCGTTTTCGCACCTGCTATGTTCCACTGATCATAATTCATTGAAAACTTAGGCAAATATAGTAATTTAATATATCGTTCGGAAGCACATTTTTCAAGCTATCGTACAAATTTTTTCCCGTTTCTCTGCCACCATTTCTTCTACGATTTTGGGTCACCCGCGAAGATGTTGTCAAGACGCGAAATCCGACTCATCATGCTTCACGAGTACAAACTCGGCCGTAATGCTGCGGAAGCAGCTAGGAATATCACCAACGCATGGGGCGAAGTACAAATGAGCGCACCACGCGTAGGTGGTTCGACAAATTCCGAAATGGAGACTTCTTGGAAGTTAAAGGTGACGAATTGAAGGCACAGATAGAAGCCAACCCAAGAGCCGGGAGTTGACTTCGGAACTGTAGCACGTCATTTGAAGAAAATTGGGAAGGTAAAAAAAAACTTGACAAGTGGATCCCGCATGAGTTGACTGAGCACCAGCAATCTCGTCGTCTCGAAGTCTGTTCGTCTCATCTTTTGCGGAACAAAAACGATCCTTTTCTGCAACGCATTGTGACGTGTGACGAAAAATGGATTCAATACGACAATAGACGACGGTCAGGACAGTGGTTGGATCACGACGAAGCTCCTAAACATTTTCCAAAGCCGGAGTTGCACCAAAAAAGGTCATGGTGACTGTTTGGTGGTCTACAGCCGGTTTGATCCACCACAGCTTCCTGGCTCCAGGAGAAACCATCACAGCGGAGAAGTACTGTGAGGAAATCGAAAAAATGCACCAAAAATTGCATCGGATTCAGCCGGCATTAATCAACAGAAAGGGCGCGATCCTATGACAACGCCCGACCGCATGTTTCATTGATGACAACAAAAAAACTGATGGAGTTGGCTCTCGACCATCCTCCATACTCACCAGACCTTTCCCCTACGGATTATCACTTTTTCAAGCATCTCGAAATTTTCTTACGCGAGAAATGCTTCCGAAACCAAGACGACGTAGAAAAGGCATTCAACGATTTCGTCGATTCCAGAACTCCAGAATTTTATGCTGCCGGAATATCTAAACTGCCTTCTCGTTGGCAGAAATGTGTTGATTCTTTTGGTCGTTATTTCGATTGAAAAGCAACACTTTGAAGCGAGTTATGATATTTTAAAATATTTGCTTCAAACCGGTCATTATTTTTGCCACGACCTAATATTGTGGGTAAAAGTGAGCAGCTGGGACATGGTTTCGTCTTACCACTGATCAGTCATAGCGGAGAATTATACTAACCCCCCAGCGGAACTGCAGACTTCGAAGTGGAAGGTAAGCACGTGGTATCCGTCAGAGTGCGTCTACACTTCACAATTGGATCGCTCCGACAGAGCGAGCAATTCGGTCGCGCGATCGGCGCCAACTGATCGCAGACCAATTCGCCCGTGCGAGTAGAGCGATTAAATCGTGAAGGATGAATTCACCCTCACAGGAATCAATGAAGAACATGCACAAACTATCCAGTGATTTTGAAGAACAGACTGACCTAAGTACGGATGCCGCTCTCGCGATGGCGCCTGCATCGCCGTCAGTCCGAAAGGCGGGTGCAACTTCCTCCGCCACAAATGCTTGCTCTTATATGGAATGTGTGGCGATTTTATTGCGGTTTACCGCATGGGAGTGGCCTGCGATCCCAAAGCCTCCGCGTACGAGTTGTGCTGTTCCATGGGCTCGTTTAAATTATTTAGGGGATTCATCCTATGGCCACTTTGAAGAACACGCCGTGAATAAGAGCAAATCCCTCGTTCCAACGTGCACTCGTGTTGATACGGTAGTGCAACCCGGACATTGCCGCGCGGCTGAGCTGTGCGGCCTCGTGAGCTCACGATAGAATCGCTTGTCTCCCATTCTTTACATCTTGACGCGATTGAGAAGATAAAGGAGACTTACTGCACAGAACAGGGATAACCGTGGGCGTTTTCCTATGAGGCAGCCGACGCTGTAGTAATGCGAACGAATATCACAGATAAAGTCGAGTAACCTCCACAATCTTTTCAGCCATTCTAAAAGCACTCTCTTCCGATGAGCTAACGAAGCGAACATCAAAGAAACTGCACACTCTTACTCTCTGATAAGCCTCTTTCTAACTTTCTAGAACACACCAAACTGACGTTTTTACTGAATGCACATTTCCGGAACTCCTAATTTTTATGGCCTATGTAAAAGAACTTGCTTCTCCCCTCTCCCCCCCCCCCTGCAGCGAACATTTGTACAGTGAAGCACAATTTTCCTTCCCTACTATTCATAATATTAGGTTGATCAAAAAGTTTTGATAGGGTTGAGATTTTTCTGTTTTATTTTACAACTCAGCAAACAATGCAAGCTAATCAACAATATAATAACCATCGTTAGTCATAACATTGTCCCACCTAACGGGCAGGTCAGCGATTCCCTTCTCCCAGAACTGGGGAGATTGGGAGTCAGAAGAAGCCAGCGACCACTTGGTCAGTTGACGAATCGTTTTTTTTTTTTGCTAGAAGCCTTGAGGGGCCGGAACAAGTGGTAATCTGAGGGGGCAATATCAGGTGAATAGGGTGGATGTGGAACCGTGTCCCAGCCTAGCTCCTCCAATTTTGCACGGGTCTCTTTACCTATGTGAGGCCTAGCGTTGTCATGGAGGAGGTGCACAAAAAAGTTCGTCTAGGCCGTTTTTCTCGAACGGCTTCCGCAAGTTTCTGCAGCTGACCAGCGTAATAGGGAGCGGTGACGGTGTGGCCTTGCTTGAGCAGTTCGTAGTACAGCATTCCTTTTGAATCCCAGAAGCAGCAAAGGAGAAACTTCTTGGGGTGGAGGTCGGATTTGGCTTGCGTCGGCGGCTGTTCTCCTCGCGGCGCGGTGCTTGTTAGCGTCGTAGAGGATCCAGCTTTCATCTCCAGTAACTAGGTCCTCCAGAAACTCCTTGCGATGTGGGCGAAGGAGAGACTGACAAATGGATAGCCGTGTGTTGGGACTACTGTTGGTTGGGCACACCCAAGTCTCGTCGCAAGGCTGCGGGTGTTGACTTCCGGATCCTCTGACGGCGTCGAGAATGACGGAGTCGTCGACGGCGAGGGGGCGTCCCGACCGAGGCTTGTCTTCGAAGTCCGTGTCTCCTTCCTTGAAGCGAGCGAACCAGCGATGGACCGTAGCGATGGAAGTGGTGTCCTCCCCCCATACGCTGTTGATGTTGCGAACGGTTGCCGTCGCTCCGGTGCCGCGGCGCCACTCGTAGAAGATGATGTATCGAACATGGTCTCGTGGAATTGACATCGTGATTTAAGCTAAAGGAGGAAGCGCGCCTATATACCCATTACGGAGAAGGTTCTAGAATGTTCTACCACTACCACATGGTAGATCATTGGTATCGATCAAGAATCGAAAGTTCTGGAACTTTCAAAAAACCCTATCAAAACTTTTCGATCAACCTAATACTTCCCAGCATTGAACTAAGAGTTACATGTGACAGCATCCAAAATAAAATGGGCAGAGTAAGACATCCATTAATGCCAGCCGATGGGGTGAACAGTGACGTGAAGGAAAGGCAGCGTTCAGACTTCTTGATAATGCGCACCGACGCCCTGTAACGCGCTGCAGTTGCAACAGCACGCAAATAGTATAGACGCGAACGCAGCCGCAAATGGCCGCGTTCATAGCTTGCGTTCGTGAAGAAATGCAGAAATGCGGAAAATGCAGAAGTGCGGAAAGTGCAGAAGTGCCGAAAGTGCGGAATCTGCAGAAAAGCAATAGATACGTATCGATTTGAAGAAATGCAGAAATGCCGAAAGTGAAGAAGTGCGGAATCTGCAGAAATGCCGAAAGTGCGGAATCTGCAGAAATGCCGAAAGTGCGGAAAATCGATACGTATGAATTGCTTTTCGTCATTTCTGCAGATTCCGCATGTCTGCACATTCCGCACTTCTTCACTTTCGGCATTTCTGCAGATTCCGCATTTCTTCACTTTCGGCATTTCTTCAAATCGATACGTATGTAATGCTTTTCGTCATTTCTGCACTTTCCGCACTTCTGCAGTTTCGGCATTTCTGCATTTCTTCAAGTCGATACGTATCTATTGCTTTTCGTCATTTCTGCAGATTCCGCACTTCTGCATTTCCGCATTTCTGCATTTCTTCACGAACGCAAGCCATGAACGCGGCCTATGGGAAGCGATCGGCTTCGCTTTTGTATTGAGAGAGTTTGAAAGCACGCGTTGCTGAATCACGCTACCTGGTATCGGTCGGCACTGGCCGCTAGGGCGACGCCGATCAATTCCCGTCTGCGTCAGCGTTTATAGGATTGGAGCGTTGTTGTGACTGTAACGCGCGTCATAGCGAAGTATGAACGCTGCAAAACAAACCGCGACCCCATCATTTGTTGATCCCGATGCTTCTGCGGTTCCAAAAGAGAAGAGGTAACTACATACTTGGGTATAGAACCATTCATTCGTGTTCAGGTCACATAAAGCCAATCGAATTATTTCAAGAACGCTGCTATGAGTTGCAAGCAAAACAATTTTGCCCCACTTAGGACTCGCACCCGGACTTCACGCTTCTGAGGTAGTACCAACACATCCCAAGGAAACTTCACAATTAACGGAAATCCCGCCGAATCTCAAGTGGGAAAGCAGTACACATCAACTCGTATACGATGCAGACGAGTCAGATGGTTGACAGATATGCGATACACCCAATTTCAGCCTGACGATGAAGATCCCAAATAGAGAGAATGCTCTTCAACTCCACCTCAGTGATGCCTGCTGCTGCGTTTACAGTTGGCGACGGGAATCGGCGTTTTGATTTTGGTTGTTCTTGGACACCGCACGTACTTGCGCATCTAATGAATTGAATTGAAATTTCGAACGTATCAATACCCATCCCTTTTGCTCAATACGCTTCCAGAATGCTCAAAAAGCCAACGCTAAGTATAAACCCACCCTAACGTACTTCACTTCGCATGCTACTTCCGCTTATCAGTATCACAGTCAGTATGTACCTCTCTTGTGGCAGAGCATCCAGAGGATGCGAGGGTCAAAACAGCACAGGATCATTTCAATGAACACATCCCAATAGACTGGTAGACTTCAGTAGCCCTTAGGGCGCGTTCATACTTTGCGTCAGCGCTTGAGCGTACGGCAGTGTTTTGAGCGTTTCGCGGGCAGCCTTAGAAAAACGTTAGCGTACGCTCAACGCTGGATCCATACTGTACTTTCCTAGTCGCTCATAACGCAAAGTATAAGCAAATCTTTTGACATTACTGCTTCTAAGTACGTAATTATTGGTCCACTTTGCCTCTCAGTAAAATCCTTTCAGACGTGATAGCTCGTAAAGCGTGGGGCGGATCCATGTCACGGTGATGTTCAATCTCGTGGCTAGTTGTCGCAACATACTGGACCACCTACTCGGAAGGAGGTGGACCCTGAGGCGCGTGCTGGGCACCTGACATCACTCCAGATGGTCCGACATCGCGACGCTGATCTTCTGCATTACAGCTCGTATACCCTGACCTGCACTGAATCTTGGAATCCTATTCAGAAGTGATATAACCAATGGCGTTAACTATTGAAACCTGCGAGGCAGCTCTGTACGTGCAGCTTCCTGCTCTTTCTCTTTCTCTCTCTCCCTCTCTCTTTTTCTCTCTCTATCTGGAATGCTAAAACGAAACGAACTTTTGCTGCTTCTCCTCGTGGGTCTCGCCGAGTTGAACATCCGTGCAGCAACTCATAAGAACTGAAGAAACTAGCGCAAAAAATGAAATCATACCGCTCAGCTCTGCTTTTATAGTCCTATCATGCTGATAAGCACCAGTTCACATTCATTCAACAATTTCTCAAATAAGCAGGAAACTCATCTCTTTCTAGAGTCCCCTACTCCCCAATCCTTGAAACGAGTCTCGTCAGTGTCTAGTCTGGTCTAGTCTTGCAAACGCTCGGGCGTTTCAGAGGAGCTGGGTGCAAGCTGGTAGGACACCGCATTCGGTGGAGAACAGGCTGGCGCCGCGCTAATCCTACCCACCTTGAAAGGGTTACGTGACAACTAAAACTTTCAGTGGGAGTCCTGCTGCCAAAGGCGAGAGCGCAGAGAAACCAAGAACTGCGGGGTATTTTTTTTCATGGCATCTGCTGACCCAGCTGTTGAAGGAGAACGCAAGAGGGGAGGGGGAGGGGAAGAGAGAAGGAAGGAAGGAAGAAAAAGGAAGGAGAAAGAAAAAGGAATGGTAAGGGAGGTTCCGCGGTTAACAGGTATCCTGAGACGCTACGAATGCATTGGGAGGGACAAAAAACATGCCGCAAACCAGGAAATCAATTTTTCAAAGGGAAAACGCGAGCCAGGAGATCAATTTTACAAAGTGACAGGACACCGAGGAAGATAGGCAACTTATTATAGGTGAAAAGTTAGAATGTGGAAGGTGATACTGGACGTAGAACGCCGCGCAGACGAGAGAGCGTTAAGAAAAACAGAAAATTGGTGCCATCAAAAGGGATGAGTTTTAGTTGTCCGTAGACGCCTAGAAAGCATCCGCGTCCGCAGCAAAAAGATGTACTCCGTATAAGCAATCACAAAACATGTAATAGTCAAATTTTCTCCCATCACATCAATAGTAGCACTAGATCTTCGTGAACGACAGGATAACGCGTTGGTACGACCACTCACTCGTCAAAGCTAAATCGAAAATGCCAGCAACACCAATAATTTATTTGATTGTAGACATATCGTGAAGGCAGCTTCATAACAAGAAGATATATAAGCAAGAGATAAACGGCAATGGACATTACGCCTATTCCGGACGAGACGTTGGTGATCATCACTTTTCCCACTGGTTAGTTTGCAATGAGCCCATTTACTGATTGCCAACCCTTTTACTATGCAATGTCTTCAGAGTGTGACAACATAATTAAAGACCCCAGCACGCGCTTTCGAGTGGTCAGAGCCAGTGGCACGTCATGGGCGCGCCCCTCATTGTCCCACTTCTGCCACCGAGACAGAACGAGCGAAGCGGTCTCGCCAATGTTATCGTTCCCTGATTCCACCCTCGGGTATCCGGAAGGTGTCATTAATGCATACATTCTGTCAGATTCACCGGCGACTCACACGGAATAAGCGGATTTCACTGTTCAGGCTTGCTCCTAGAAATGAACGAACATTTTTCCGTCTGGCCCCACATTGATTCACTCGTCTACATCTTGCGGTCTGAGCCAGTCCATCATTACGTAGTGCGGCTGAGTGTTGTCTGACGATACTACTGCTAGAACTAAGTTCTTCTTGACCTGCAAAAGTACTTTCAACCCTTTCGATTTACGCTGAATGCATTTCAACAAACACAGCGGGCAAGTTTTAAAAAAATAAGTGCAACCATTCAAAATTCACCTGGACTGCCACTCGAATCAGAGCGATCAAATTTGATGGCATCAGCATCTCATCGTCGAAAATAATGTCAACTAGAAACGTTGCGTGCACATCACCGGGTGGCCCTTGAAGCAGTTTGTCATCTAGCACTCTGCTCACCACAAAAAGAAGGCAAAAATGGCCATACCTTCGTAAACTAACCATGCCGTACCGAACTGTACCCCACTTGTCAAATAGTAGCCTCTGCTCCAGAGATCATAGTAAACTAGGTGTCTTGCGCGGAACTCGCGAGTGCAAGGAACTGGCACTTCAAATTCATCCAGCCATCGGTAGATATCCTCATCGGGATCCACTAAAGCGAGCACACTTCGCAAAATGATAGTGGCCAGAAATTCGTGAACACATACATTTTCTCAGATTCACAATTTTCAGTTCTCCAGCAGTCCCCAAGACATCCTCCTTTGAATTCTCGGCGCTATCCATACCGCCTTCCGCTACCTGCAAGGCTTATCAATAGCACCAATAATTTTGCTAAAAGACAAACTGTAACTCTCAACTCGGAGGATAGTCCTTGTCAGGTGCGAGGCGTACGGGTCCACAGCTGCAGTCGCGGGCCGAAAGTTCGGGGCAAGAAATTAGTGACACCCGGATGCTGTCTCCATACTGCACCTTCGCTGTTGTCAGCATTCGCGTCGATACCAAGGTCCAGCAGCGAAACACCCACTCAACGGCAGAAAAGAACCAGAAAAGAAAGGGCGCGCACAAGTTCGTGTTTATCTATAATTAGGCGTGTGGCTGGCTGTGTGGCGGCGCGCGGAAACGCCCGGGTATTTTCACAGTTCAGATTTATTCCCGTGCACTTTCGATCGGAGAAAGTGGCTACACGGACCCAGTCTTTCCGCCCATAAGAAAGACCAGACCCACGACAAGGACCACGATCCACAGAGGTGAGCGTTTGTCTGCGCAATAGAGACTATTCACTTTACGCTTTTTAGCAATACACGCTCTTTCTTCTTTGCATAGCTCTGAGGCTGTCGTTTCAATAGCAGTCACTTTGGCTCCTTTATGCTCACTCTGGATCAAAAACACTACACGGTCACAAAGAGGATAGCTAACATAGTGTATACCCACCTCACTAAGGGATCTTTCCTCGAAGGGGACATTTTGGCTGGAAGTAGAAGGAGGAGATTCCTTCAGCACTCTCACTCTACCGTAGCCTGAAATGAAGAATAAAGGTGATGAAATTCGTAAAAAGACGTCTACTACGCAGGTTCTTTCGTTCAGAAGTCCTCAAGGCTGCGTCCATACTCTCCGCCAGCGTTTAAGCGTACTTCAGCGTTTGAGCTTATTGAGCGACTAGGAAAGTGCATTGAGCGTACGGTAGCGTTTCAACCGCCTACTCGCGAAAAGTCCAGAACGCTAGTGTACGCTTGAAGACAGCTCCCGCGATAAAAGTCTCATGGATAGCTGCTTTCCAATTATGAAACAGTAGCTGATAAGTAATCTCCCAAAGAAGAAAACAGGCAAGAAGCGTCCTCCAGAACAACATAAACAAAATCGCTCCCTCACAGTCACACCTCCCTGCGGTCTCTGTGCAACCCCTAGCTCACAAATCTCTCTATCACATCTCGCAGTAGTTGATATCATCCAGTGCAAAAAAAAGAATACAAAAAGAAAACAACAAAAACGCAGAGGAAAAACTCTTGGAAGGAAAAAGGAATTTTATCAACGCGGTGTCTGAATTTGGGATTACGGTAGCGCACGTTTTGTGCGTCGAGGTTTTGCATCACGAAAATTGCGTCACTCGTGCTTTTTACGCGTTTCACCTCGCGAAATGAGTTGAATTGAATGTATATACCTCCAATGAGTAAACTGTAATAAAGGGGAGCAGAATTATCCATGGGCATTAGCAATGCCCGCCGCCCCAACTAAGAACAACTGAGTGGCCTCCGTCGGAGGACATCTAGCAAGTAAGGCGGTCCAACTGAGCAGGCGTTAGAACTAGAACTTACAGCGGCTGTAGCTCGCTTCTCGCTCGCTGTGCAGACGAATAGAGTGGGACAGTCTCTAGCTTGGGGGCTGTACTACTTGCACAAGGAAGGACGACCATGTACTACTCGAGCGCGGGGGCTGTCTTTAAAACCCTAGATCAATACCTATACTTTCCTAGTCGCTCAGAACGCTGACGCAAAGTCGCTGTAGTGAGGAACATGTTCCGAACGGCAGCACATGTCTGCTCAGGAGGAGAGGAGAGGAAGGAGTCCTTGAAACTGGCGCACGGTATTGCTGTTGCGAATGGCTATGGAAAGCCTTTGACCTCCCACAGAGCCAGAATTGGTGGGGCCAACAGCAGACGCGGTGGTAGCATGATAAGCGGCAAAATCCCTTTCATGCTACCATACGTCTCCGATGAGATGAGCACCTAAGGAGGTCAGGTTTGGAGAACATAGTAGCCATTGTAAATATACCACCCAATAACCTGAAGCGCCGCCTGGTGAGGAATCGATTGTACGACCGCCTATGTGCAACCCCCGATTGTGTGGTCTGCCCGGCCGGCAAAGAGGGTGATTGTACTATGACAGGGGTGGTCTACAAAATCACCTGTCGCAGCTGTGGGGACCAGTACATCGGCGAGACGGCTCGTCCGCTTTGCGTGAGGGTGAAAGAGCATCTGGATGGTATGAGCAGGTCACGAGTGTCTACTGCCTTGGGTGCCCATAGGGTCCAAATTCACAACGGGGCTGTTTTTGGAGTCGCGGTTGAGGTCTTAGCGCGAGAGGCACAAACCTCCGCGCGAAAAACCCTTGAGGCATTCTGGATCCAGGTCATCGATCCAAAGATGAACCGGAGGGAAGAATGCCTCACTATTACGCGGGAACTGAGGCCCTATATAAGGTTGGCCTTCCACGAGGGCTCTGAATGCAGAGCAGTCAGCTTCAGCTGCCACCTTCCTATTGGTCTCTGGGATCGGACTGGATTACGGTAAGTGCTCTTCCCCGTGATTGGGTGATGACCTGTTTAGGGTCGAACTTCAGTAGGCTGCAGAGACATTTGATCGGATAGTCGCAAATCGTTTCGGTCCTTTCAGGCTCTGATGAAGGCGGTCTCGCCGAAACGTGCGTAAGCCGAATAAACTGCTGTATCAACCTCGCGAAGAGTTTCCACAGAAGAAGTTCTACAGTGCTGACGCAGAGTATGAATGCACTCTTCGCTCTTAACGCTTTGCGTCAAACACGTTCCAATTGGGTAGAAAAATTAAAAAAAACGAAATACTAAAAAAATCAAAACGAATACTTTTCAAAAAATTAACAGTACCATGTTGAACTAGGAGCACAACCACCTCAGGGGCAACAAGATATGGGGCTTCATCTTCTGTGAACATTGCCGATCGAGGGACTATATGGAGTTCATCACGTAACCACAGTGCTTCTAAAAACATTTTTCTCAGTCGAATCGTATAAGCAGTAAACTACAACTTTCGCCTTTCTCATATTTTCTACGTCAAGAGTGAGAGTAAAATGCTCCAGGATCGTAAAGCACAAGCAGTTCTCTCGCAATGTAGTCAGCCGAATTCGCTTGGTTTATCTCCGCGGATGCGGAGCCTTTCGCACAACAAACCGAGCACCGCAGTTCGGCCTTGTCGGGGCACCCATTGGCCTAGCTAAGCTAGGAAATATCTTGCGATGGGTCATCTAAACAAGCTCGCAGCTTCACGGGAACTACATATTTGACCAAAGCAAGACCTTCTACTCAACATGAACGAACAAGAGGAACTAGCGAAAGTACACAATGCTCCACCAAGCCGAACAGCGTCTAAACCGAGCTCCAGGGAGTACAAGTCAGCATTTTAACTGCAATTTGATGGAGTATCGGCGGGTTCGTTAGTGACAGCCACTAAAACAAGGTCACCGTCTATTTTTTTTGATGGCGAGTCTGACAGTGTGAGATTATTGACAAGAGATCAAGACAGCTGCCACAGAAAAGAAAACCGCGGACTATGAGACTCATGGAGATACATTCAGTGCCCCAGACATGCGCATCCAGAGCACCTTAAGTCCCAGTTCCATTCGTGAGCAATACAGTAGCTAATGCCTCCACCGAATTCTATATGGCTGCGTTCATACTCTACGGCGGCGACCACAGGGGTTTAGAGCGCACTTCAGCGCCAGCGTCTAGGAAAGTACACATATCGATCTAGCGAACTCCTGCATCTATAATAGCAGCGTTCGGCAGCGTCCACCAACGTCCAGGAATGAAGAGTACCGGGAAAAAGGAAGGTAGCAAACAACTGGACTAGGCGTCGTGAAGATGCGGCGTGTGCGCTGCACTGCACAACTGCGCTACACCGCACATCAAGATTGTATGGCTCCGTGCTTTAGCATTTGCAAGGTGCCGTTGCATACGCCACAACTTCCCGCCGAACGCCTAGTACAGCTGTCTGATACCCTCCCACTCCCCCCTACTCTCCACTTCTGGACGCTGGTGAACGCTGGTGGCACTGGCTTTCGCTAGATCGATACCTATACTCTGCTAGTCGCTGACGCTGGCGTATGGTCGAAACGTTGGTGATCGCTTGTGGAAGCTGACGCAGAGTATGAAGGCAGCCTCTCCATTCCAAAATCCCTATCTTTGAGCGATGCTGACTTGATGGTCAGTTAAAATGCTCAATAACAGACTGAAATCCATGGGAGGAGGGGGGGGGGGGTGAGAGGGGTAGATATATGACATGCAAAGAAAAGATAACCATATTTCATCACCAGCAACATCGGTTTGCCTGCGTGGGTGTAAAGCATTACTTCCGTGTTACGGTTTTCCTAGCACTTGACGTGAGGGACAAAACAGACTGACACACCCTCTTTTGTCACAATGCAATTTTTTGATCATAACATGTACAAATAAAATAACACTTTCAGAAAAGTCTTACCTTCCTCGGAGAATACGAAGAAATGGTCGCTGATGTAGTCTATCGTGATATACTCAAATGGTAGTGGATCAGATTGCAGTCCGATGTCATTCTGACACTCAAATGGTAATGGATCAATTGTGACTGTAGGAAAGATGTGATCGTTCGCGTATGCGTCACGAACACTGCTGAAATATGTTTGAGTTTCTGTTCAAAGAATAATAAACTCATACAGTGACTCCACATAGAGCTCGTCTTAGGCTGCGTTCATACTTAGCGTCAACGCTTCCAGCCTATGGCTGAGCCGTACAAGCTGACGTCAGCGTTGTGCGTTTCGAGCTACAAGGAAAGTGTAGGTATCGATATATGTTTTGCGTGTACCACTTCCCGCGAAAGCGCTAAGAACGCTAGATCGATATCCATACTCCTTAGTCGCTCGAAACGCTGCCGCACACTGGCATATGCTCAAAACGCTGCTGAGCGCACAAAGCTGCCACAAAGTATGAACGCAATATACGTGCTCGAGGTCTTTACTTATGAAAGGGGTTGAGGGTCATGAACAGAGAAACCTTCCCGAAGGATTATATCTAGTAAAATTTTTCCATACTGATAATGTGCCCTAAACGCTGTGTCGCATAGTACCCTCGACTGCTTTTGCACCCAAAATTCTCGCGATAATAAGTGATCATCTGATGCAAACTGTACAGTGACCATAGATTAGCATAACAAAGGAACCATCTACCAAATGAATCAAATTACAGCAGTGAGTTCACACTTCGTGACACCAGCAATGCGCGACGGACGTACGCAGTTGCGTACGGTTGTGGTTATTGTTGCATTCTTGACATTTGTTCCTCTTTTACCACGGTTGGTTGAATGTGCATCGCTACCAACCACAGAATCCAAAGTCGCGCGAAGGAATCGCCGGTGTCGCAAACTATGAACGCTGTTTAACTTTCTCCTGCGCCTCATAGTATGCGCCTAATATGAACCGTCTCGGTACGGATTGTAGGCAACATCACAACACATAAAATATATAAATTTATTAGGAAGCACATTTGAATGTACACAACGGAATGGAATGATACACAAAGCGACTGAGATAGAAAGCCGAATGTAATCCGTATTTCGAAGGAAGTGAGGGAGGTTATGTTACATTATCAGTCAGTAAGTATTGCAAGGGTCAGACCAGCGCTATTCAGCTTTTAGTAGAGAGGAAGCTAATCAAAGAGTTTTGAGAACCTTTTCACGGAACGCTAAGAGTTACAGAGGACAGTCTAAGCGCAAGCGAACACGGTACAGCTTAGTGGCGTAGATTCGCTTTTTATCATAATGCACCACAGCCGTTCACACCTCAAGTCACCCGCTTTAAAAACCACAACATGAGTTCTGAATAAAGGGAGTCACACTAACTTCAACTGCAATGAATTCATGGATTAGTCACTGGTAGTTCTTCGTTGGAGATCAAAACCCTACCCTTACAGCAAAATATAGTATAAACCCAGGAACGACTCAAAAAAATAACGTTGTAACCACCATATAGCTGGAGGCAGAATGGCGCGAGTGGTATCGAAGTGCTCTAACGCTGCGCCGCTACCGCTCGCAGCCAAGACGGGCCGTCACACTTACAACAATGGGTGTCGGTCATATGAAATACTTGGAACTATATAACTATTCTACTGATCGCGGGTCACATCACAGAAGCGCTTATAGGAACTAATGCTTTTTGGAAAGTCTAGTAATTGAGCAAAATTGTTTTTCCAAAATATTCGAAATATTTCTACAACTAACCGTGGTTGTAAAGCTTCAAAAGCACAAGTGCAGAATGACTGCTCAGATTATACTATCTGATGATTCTCTTTCTGCTGGTTTTGCTAGTGCTGATTTTTCTTCTGCTGTTCTTAATTCGTTTTCTGCTACTTGTTCTGCTGTTTTTACTTCTTTTTCTGCTATTTTTTCCGCTGTTTTTACTTGTTTTTCTGCTATTTTTTCTGCTGTTTTTACTGTTTTTTCTGCTACTTTGTCCGCTGCTTGTACTTCTTCTTCTCTGTTCACCGAAGAGAGCCGTAAGAAAGTTTCCTCTAGAGAGGATTGCGTCACGCAAAAGTCAACAACTCGCAGTGATGCGGCCAACGTTTGAACTGCACGGAATAGTGTAGACCATCGATCCGATTTGGATTTTGGAATCTGAAAGAGAAAACAATGAAAGAATACCTTCTCTTGGAATACCTCACTACTGTTTGAACTTGTCACTATGGTCCTGGCGCGAAATGCTAAAGCGCAGACAGGTAAAGAACAGTTGGTGCTGCCAGGATCAAAAAGTGCTAAAGAATTGAACAATTCAAGGGGATGGCCCCCTAGTTGTGAGCCGGTCTTGGTGGTCATAGCATGCTACAAGTTCAGGCAGTCCGCGAACTATTTTATAAGGGTTGTTCCATAAAAAAATTCACTGTAAGCATTCTACAATGTCAGCAAAGCAATGGCCCCTTCCTTTGACGAGTGTTTTGCCCAGCTGCAACCTTTCTTTCTCAACGATCACGGTAACAAAGCTCGTCCACCGAATTACAAAGGGAAGGGCAATCAAAAGAAGGACTTCCCTCACCTGCCACTTCAAACTTAGCGTTAAGCTTCCTTTGGGAGTCTTAAGAACTGATTTGGGAAAAGCCTTCTTAACCGCATCGATGACGGCATTGCGAGACTCCAGTCCGGGTGCAACCATCGTAATCGTGTAGCTGTTTCCATATCTGAAGGACAACGCGAGAAAGCTCAAAGTCTTCAACCTCCCAAGGGAGCTAGGTACTCATATGGCGGCTCTCTTCACTGTCTGAGTGCTCAGGTCTCTTGGGAAAAGCGGAGCTTCATGTAAACTTCTGATAACTCTCAAAAGGGAGCAAAGTGTATGAGTATGCCTCGCAAGTTAAGTCGCCTCTCATGCAATCAAACAGAAAAGAAGTTGCACACAGAGTATGGCGAATTCACACAGATGGAATCTTGTAAGTCAAGATCGCGTTCCACTTCGCCATTCAGTTGTTTTCCAAACCGCGACTGCACCGACCACGCTCATTTGAAAATCACTTGACCAAATCAGCGTTCAGACTTCGCGACGGCAGAGCTTCGGTCGCGCGTTCGACATGATCGATGCGCATGCTTTCGACTGCATTGATCGCGTCGAGCGCGACCGAAGCGCTGCCTTCGCGAAGTCTGAACGCTGCCTAATGCATGAGCGAACGATGAACGCTTGCCAACCTCGCTATTTCGCAATTTTGACCTCCTTATGAACATATAAGTTCTACCTTGATTTAAGCTGTTGAGGTGTTCCAATAGCTATCAATCGGCCTTTTTGCAAGACAGCAATTCGACTACACAACGCCTTCACACTTCGTCCATACTGTGTGAAGTGAGTAGAAGGGCTGAGTGTGAGCTATCACGTATGATCGACAATACCTCCCAAATTTCACGGCGCGCCTAAAAAGAGCATTGCTCCATCTGTTTAGCAGTTTCGAATGCCCTAAAGGACTAACAGGCTCAAATTAATGCTATACGATTCTGATTCCCCGAACTAAACCTGCTTTTGAACAGGAAAAGCCGGATTATCTCAATAAAAATAACCACGGACCTTTGGATCGACTCCAGCTGTCGGCTCGTCCAGAATGATAAATCGAACTGGCGCTAGAAGCACTAGACCGACGCTGATTTTGCGTCGCTGCCCTCCACTACAACGTCAAAAATTTTTCGTAGTCCAGTGAAGGCGGTTTGAGTAAATGGAGAAAATCCCTTTCCGGAAGAGGAAAAATCAAAGGCAAATGAAAAAGCAGAATGAACAGCTCCAAATTAGTTTACCTGCAATATCGCACCAACTTATCGGCATGCCCCTCCATGCCAACGTTTCGGAGGACTACATCAGTTACTTCATCAGGATCAGGAAAACCATGCATGCGGGCAAGGATCTGAAACATCACTTCCTGGAGTACTTGGCAACAAGCGAATCTTTCGCGATTGGTGGCAAAGGAATACTAACTGAGGCAGGACTTTTGATGCCATTCAAACGAGACGCAGAATACTACATAGAGATACACCCTGACTTCTTTCAAAGCGAAAAAAAATACCTTTAGAGTTTCTCTCCCAGTTAGGTCTAGTAGGAGTGCATCGAACTGAGGACAGTAACCGATAGGCTGGAATTGAAAAGTCGGATAAACCCATAGGCAGGCCTCGAAAGCAGTAGGGAGAAAATCAACTCACGATCCGCTCTGTCACATCTCGTTTGTCTATACGAGCTGTCCCAGATGTGGCAAAAGATTGTCCAGTGAGAATGTCGAAAGTTGTAGTCTTTCCCGCGCCATTCGCACCAAGCAGTCCAAAGCATTCGCTGTTATGAACACCCATAGTTAAGCCATTCAGCGCTCTCATATCTCCATACGTTTTGTATAAATCCTGAAGCTCCACAGAATCTTGGAGGATTCAGAATAGTTCACGTATGGAGAGCTATTTTACAAGGGATAAGCTCACTTTCACTTCCAGCGCCATATCATCGCCGAACTCGTCCACGCTCACTCGCTCTTCAGCCTTTGCACTGTCCTTTTCGTCAACCTGCAAACGGGGATGTTTAGCTAACCGAAGAACTCTCTTCTAAGCACGACTACCGTATTTTTTTGGGATGTGAGCAGTACCCTAGGATAGGATGCACCTTCGGCTTGAGCACGGTCATACTTCGCGACAGCGTTTCGAGCGTCTTGGGCGTACTGAGTGGCAAGGGAGAATAGGGATTGATCCAACGTTTTCAACGTCCGTAAGCGTTTCGAGTGTCAGCAACGGTTTTAGCGATAATTGATGCCAACAATTCTTTAGAAACCCCTCAAAACGTTGGCAGACGCTTGAAACGCTGTCGCAAACCATGAACGCACTATTTGCGCTTTTTTGTTGTCTATGTTAATGTCCACATTGAACAAGAGTTCAATGTTCAATTCAGTGTTCAATTTTGAACAATTCAAAAATAATCCAAAGATTAGAATTTAAACAAAAAACAGGAAGAGCAGCTGCTATGTCTAAAAACTTTTAGCGCGTCTTCGCGATCCTGCAAACAAATGTGTCTAGTAATCTTGTTTGAGATGCCTGAAAAAAACAAACTAGAAGCATCTACCAGTTCATGTTTCATTTGTCCGTGACGTGAATTCCAACGCTGGAACCAGTAATATCGTACTGCTTTGAACTGGAACATTAGAAACAATAGCGAGGAGACAAAACCGAAAAGCACCATGAACAAATGTTTTTGCCTGAAAATCTGATATTCTGAATAATCTATGCTGGAACGGAGCTCCTGCTCAATATTAAGTGCTAGCACTCCCATAATTACCTCGGAGTGAGCTAAAAACTAGGCACTGACTGTCACCTATCTCTACAGAGAATGGAATCACTAACACACTGAAGCTTCTACTTATAAAACTTACCTAGCTTATTCCATTCCCACATAGTGCTTGGCGGAACCTCATCGGCTGAACTTTCACCTACTGCAATCACACCGTCGCCGAAAGCGAAAGAGGGCAAGATGCATAGAAGAATGACCTGTGATTGAATCGAATTGGAGCAACTATCCACCTTTCCCGCACCTTCTCACTTCCCCTTTTTGCGGAACTACGGCAACAACAATGAAAAGAAGAATTGTATACGCTGATTTTCAACATTTCTGCTTTTGAGGAACTGAAAGATAGGGACTGAAAAGTTGATAAGAGGCTGCTAGTTTAAATGAATAAGCCGGGTGGGTCGCATACCCGATCGTTCCATAATCTTTTAGGGTAGTCTCATCCGTCATATGCGTCTACGCAACGAAAAGATAGGAAGAGCTTGAGTATTCCTGGACGAAATCAAGCGCGACGTGATTCATGTTTTGAAGTTGATTAGGGTGGACTGTTACCAACCTTGTCGTGCCAGTATGCATGGACATCGTTTTGAACTCTCGTTTTCATTTTGTTCTTGAGAAATCCTGTGAGGGACATGTGCACACAGCTCTCGTTACCAACCACAAAAGCAAAGGTCCTCGTGCGCACAAGGAAGAGGAAACTCGGCCACGACCATGCGCTGCGCTTTGTTGGACTGGTTCAACTCATGTGCCATCGCTCACAGGCGATTTTCGCGATAACCGAGATGCGGAAAAATATGATAGTGGTCACTCAAATGCAGTCTAGAGATATTGCCAATCTTTTGGAGGTTACGTTTGGCTAGCCTCCAGCGGGCTGAGTAAACGGCCGTCATTCTCTGCTGATGGCCGAATTTGTGCCTTAAATAAAATAACCCTTGCAAGTGCTGATAACAATGGGACTTCGTGGGATGGCAAGCAAATGCTTCCTGAAGACAACGCAGCCTCCCTCGGTTAAGAGAAAGTGGCCCTACAGGAACTCATTATATAGGATAGGTCGAAAAATAGCTTGACCTTTGGGCGATTTTTAAGCTCGAAAAGGTTCCGCAAAACCATAATCTGCCCGGCTGCAAAAACTTTAAAGAGCACTTTCTACTAACCAGGGGTATCAAAGCAAAAATAGAAACATAATGGGGGAATATGATTACCCTGATAGCTCCAATAATCGTCTGTTCCTTCAATCCAGTAGAATTCAGAATATACATAATCATCATTGAAGCAAAAGCTGCTATCAACTGCCAGAGAATCAATAGCACGTTCGCTTTCGATGGTGAAGTGAACATGAAGGACACGGCGTAAACGAATGGCACACATGACCAGAAGTACAGAATGAACAGCAAAACCATCCTAAAAGAGGATCCTACTGGAATCAGACGACAAACCCTTCTTCGTGAGACCACATTGAACACAGGAACGTTGCGGACAGGGCTTTCAAAAAAATGAAAACGTACATCCCAATATATCCCTTCAACCAACCGTTGATGACGACTACAACCACACAAAAGGTGCAGACTAAGGAGTAGAAGAGAAAGTCGTAGAGGAAGGAAGCTGTCCAAAACAGAATCGGCGATATGCCCGTCAAAAACTGCTGAAATAGTTTCAAAATGGCGCAAAAATTATGGTAGCATGGGCCTTCAACATTATCAACAGAGTCGACCTCCGCCTCAATTATATTAGCGGCACACTGCTAGCAATGCACAGGATGTCAAAAGTTCTGGGCAATTTCGTGCTCACGCCTTTTTTGACTGGTCATTATGGTCTTGGTTCCGATAGATTATTCGTATCCAATTACTTACGATTTCTCCTCGCAATGTCTCGAAAAAATCAAAAAGTCACATCCTCCAAAAAGTCACAATTGTCGAGATTTTTCTCTGCTCGGTGTTGTTGGCTTGAAGAATTTGTTCTCCACCGACGAAAGAAAAATTTTAATCACAACTACCGGAATTGTCGTCAGCTCCTCAGAAAAGGTCAGCAGAAGACAATGGCAGCGAAATCCGTCGGACGCAGACTCTTTCCAGCCTCAGTCATGGTCTGGGGCGGGATCTGTGCCATCGGAAAGACGCCTCTTGTCGAGCGCAACGTTAAGGCAGTTGGCACGATAAATCTCTAAGAAGAGTAGGACTGATACCGCCTGGCAGGACAGGATTCCGCGACCCTAAGCAGGTGCTGCGTAGCGCCTTTTCTGAGGGAGGCACCCTTAGAAGGGCCATATCGAGCTACAACATTACGACCCGAGCGCCCACCACGCCCGCCCGCCCACAAATGGACGACCGTACCTGACGCTCGTATTGCTTTATTTGCAAAGTAAAATATGAAGCGAAGAGATTGGTATGAAGTGGCTGCGGTGCTGCATGGATATATGGGAACGTACATGCAGCCGTACCCACCGTAGCGGTTATTGGCAAGATGTCTACGGAAAACTCGTCCGAAATTGTCATTAAGGACGAAGGTTTTTCTTCGCAGGTTTTTGACCGTTTCACTTCGTTTTTTCGCCATTTTCCCACTATATGGCGCCCTGCTAGCATTTTAGACCAATTACAAAATATCGCGCCAACTGCCTTTAAGACCATTGCGTCAGGTACACTCGAGATCCCTGAGATCGGGTAGGCGTGGCCGCATGTTTCAACTTATCCTTAAGGCGTTTACGCTTCTGATGCGATATTTTCATCTCGACACAATCGTTGTCGTGTCTCTGTCCAACACAGAACAAGATGACAGTTGTCCCAGACTGGAATATTCCACTAGTAACCAGTTCCTTACAGTGTTCGAATGCTCCGCCTACCCGATCTCAGGGATTTCGAGTATACCAACAATGCATTCTTCGGGATGTATTGAAGCCATGGGTGTCGCAGCATTTCGTTCACGATGGATTTGTGCTTCAGAAGACTGGGCTTCCACGTTCCGCCAAATACATAATTGCCGTGTGTGAAGAGATGTTTTCGGGATTTTGGGGCAAAGACGTTTGGCTTCCCAAATTCGCTTGTTCCAAACCTGACGGATTACTCCATTGGGGCGAAACAATTCCAGGAATCCGATGCGCGACGGTGAACCACCTGAAAGTGGCGTTGCTGCGTGCTTGGGACGAAATTACAGTAGAAGAATGCGCGACCATTGTCGGACACTTCGAAAAGCGACTGAGCAAATGTATTGAGGCCGAAGGAGGCAATTTTGAACACATGTTGTGACTTTGTTGTATACTGTCATTGTTACTGATTTGATGAAGACTCCCAGTCGTTCAGGTTTGCTAATTTACTTATTTAATGGTATTTTTATACTAACAAAGTATTCCGAAAAATTGCTAGAACTTTTAGGTCACCAGTACATACGGCGCGCTCAAAAATCGCGCGGTCTAGTTCCCTACATATTTCCAGGGCCATGCGATTCCGCGATGAATGTCAAGTTGCTAACTCACTCTAGGTTAGGCTGAGTCGCAAAAGCAATAGCGCTACGTTTACATTTTCAGCACCGCGTGAGAATTAGGGTTCAAAAATGAAATGGAGACTTGACATGCCTTGCTTGCCTGTCACGATGACCACTCCCGAATCTGAATAATGCCTATAAATGGACCTGCAGGAAAGGCTCGACCATTTCCCGTAGCTCCATTTATAAGCGACCATTTCCTGCAGGTCCATTTAGAACCGAAAGCACTGCAACGGTCTGAAAAGGACACTATGAGGGGCGCTCCCGCGATACATTCTGGACATGGACTCACACACCATGTCACTGGTAAAGGCAACAAACCCCAATTTTTGGTCGAACTGATCAACTTTATCACTTGACTCTTCGCTCCACGACCACATTCACGTGATAGAGTCACTTCCTGGGATCATTTTGCTGCAAAAAACTTCCTCGCTTCATTTTGAACGAGAATGTTTTCTCGAACATGTGTGAGATACAAAATTACAGATCTTCAACAACCCAATATGTTGTATAGCGCATTTCGAACTCTTTAGGTGGAAGTATTTATTCAATGGCCTGGCGTTTCGGCTACTGTTTGGCCTTAAAAATAGGGAATATTCTGCCT